TATGAAATTAAAATTGAAAAGAACTCGGAAGAGCGTACGCTGTCTTGGAATTCCCACTGGCGACGTCGTCCTTTGATGCCTTTGATATTATGCGACTTAGATAAGTTTTGTTGGCTCATCTAGTAGTGTAAGATTTCGTCATTAAAGTCAGCATACTGGAGGGTTAATGTGTCTAGAAACCGGAAAAAAAAAACAGTTTGAAGCGTCTGTTGTAAGACGTTTTCCACACCTGTTTATTTTGTGTCCCACTTGATTACAGAATTTTTTTTATTAAAAACGTCTGAAGAAGCTGAAACACTGCAGCTTCCCAATGTCACCTGTTTCAATTACCCAAGTCTATCGAGTTGTTGTTTATTTTCATTTCTTTTTTTTCTTTCATTTTTCTCTATTAATGCTTGAATATAAGTTACTCACTCAGACGACCGCTCTTCTATTGAAGTTAAGTTGTTTCCACATTAAGAAGCTATATGAGATTGAAAGTTACAAAAGGGAGGAATAAAAACTATTTCAACACTTCTCAGCTTTAGCAAAATTCTGCGGTTGTTATCATTACACCAAAATTCTACTGCATTTATATGATCTATAATGTCACTACAATTAAACACAGGAAAAAGCATCAGTTTTATGCCTCCAGTCATACTATTTCTAGACCAGCATTGCTGTAATTTATTTTCAGTTTTAAATCATTCTGGTTGCCGCACCGTTTTCTATAGTGATAGTTCTGCAAATACATAATTACTAAGAACTGAAATCCGTAAAAGTTTGAACAGAAAGCCATAATTTTGATTGATTAGATCGTAAAAAAACTAATATAGTTACCAGATAAATAAATTTTCTCGTTTTCTTAGATTACCTAGTTATCCAGATTATTGGTCAATAAGAAAATGAAAGCTGCCATATAAACATATATATACATATATGTTTTAAATTTTAAATGACTACAGAAAATACAATTCTGCATGCAAAAAGACGATACGATAATCAGGAAGAAAAGACCGTTCCAAAATTCGAAAAAACAAAAAAATCACAAATTCCCAACAGGTCATCTAATAACAGGTAATCTAAAAGAAGACTCGGAGCAGGGTAGTAGTAAAGATAAAAGGGCAAATAACGATGATGATCACTGTTATTTTTACTATGATAATGATGATGACAAAAATAGTAACCAAAGTTTTTACACTCCATTTATTCTACGGTTTTGCTTATTTCAATTTTTTTCCGTATTCTGTTTTTTTATTTTTCCTCTCTTTTTATTTACATCGTGTTCATATATTTTCAAAAAAAAAAAAAAGAAGCTACATTCTAATTATAACCAATCGTTCTTAAGAATTTTCAAAAAAAAAAAA